CATATTATGATTGATTTGTTTAGGTTTGGTTTGGTAGAGCTTTGTGATATATATCATATGATCATTGACCTGTTTTGGGATGTTAACAATTGTTTCTTAAATCTTTGAATTAGAAAATTCAACCTTGTAGTGTAGCATTTGTGAACCTGTTACTTTGAAAGAACTACATTTTGCTTTTGATTTAAAGGAAAAAGAGAACAAAATCTATGTGGAAAGTGAAATCGAAATAATACAAATAAGATTTAATTGATAAAGGCCATCTTCTTCCGTGACTTCGTGTGGGTGTATAGAAATTTGAATAATGATGACATTTGTTTGTGTATCTTCATTTTCTGATTAATCTCAGTACATCGCCCACAAGATGTAACGAACCAGTTACAAGAACCTGCACACATACACATATTCCCTGAGCTACTTGAATACTATGAGACTATCAATATTTTGAATAAAAAATGGTTTTGGTTTATACCTGGAAACGTGTGGATGAGCTACTCTCATGTACACTATCTCTTAGCCATTTTATTGCCATGGGAAGTGAAGTAAACACCTCACTGTTCCCACTACTACTTTCACCATCTTTTCCTCTATATTCTTCTCCTTCTGCATTTCCTATAACCAATAAAAATCGGTTGATATTTGATCACGACGATGATCATGTGTTTAATTTTGTTTCAGATATCAGATTTTTATTTTTAACTACCTTTGTCACTCTTGACAAGGCTTTCCCACACTTTCTGGAGTGTGAATTGCCATGACAAGTCAACATGTGGGTCATTCTCTGGCAAATCAGCCGCTGTACCAACCTTGTGATACACCGACATGTTTGGTACAAACAATGCCTTCTTGAAATGGATACCTACACAACAACCATTACTATTTCAGTTCTCTCTAACTATACTCGGCCAAATTTCTTTTTTTTTCTACATTTCAAAAAGTTTGCTAACTCAAGGACAACCACAAGAGTTACCGTGATTTGCGCATGTATTCCGTAGATGTGGAAGCAGTAGATTTGGGTCCCGAACTGACATGCAATTGAACAACAATATCTGCAAAGCACCCCAGTGCTCTCGTTCAGATATAGACAATAGACATTTAAGAAGAAGATACTCTAATTTCTGTGAATTCTTTGAGTCTCTCATATGATTTATAAATCCAAGACAGAACAAGAAACCCAGACCATTACCTGTTGGCAGGTTTCACCGGACCATTTCTCATGAGAGGATCCTGCGGAGCCATTAACCAAATGTTTTGAACTCTCTGACTGGTTATCTCCCTTAACGGCAGACGAAAACCATTTGGCGCATACTTCCATGCTTTCCGGACTGTGAGCTCCATCCAGATAAAATACTAAATCTCCTGAAGTCCGAGATTCAATAAATTGATCGGGGACGACCTGTGCTCGTCCTTGCAAACTCGCTGTAGCTAACCCTCTAACGAATTGCTGTGGCAAAATACTCTAATCCAAAGAAGAATTTGGGAAAAGAATGAAATTCACAAATGAGAAAAGGACCAATATACAAACTATGAAGTAAACATTATCGGAAAACAGCAGTCTACCATCTGAGTCGGACTTGGAACTTCAAGATTACCAAATTTCTGAAGCCAGGTAGTGGCAAGCGAAACTGCTAGACCAGCATTGACATATTGGTGATCCCCATCAAGCCCAAGTTTCTGACCACTTAACAACCTTGCGGTTAGTGGTTGCATCACTTCAAGATTCACCTGTTAATACAACGTTAAAGCTTCACCAAAAATACCTACTATTATTTTCACAAAATGTCAATAGAATGTTGAAGCTTCTCCGCAAAAGCACCCACACTTACTTCCACAGATCAACAAAGCTAGAATGAGACTATAACTAATGCACCTACTGGTGGACGCATTGATTTGTTTCTCAATATTCACTGTAAAATAGAAGGGGCATCTAAAATACTAAAATCAACCAAGAAGCACATAAACAAGTAGTATATGCGCAAACATTGTCCGCCAAATTTGATTACCATAGGGTTCAGAAAAATAAAATTAAGCGTACATCTAATTCGGAAGCTTTCTCTTCAAGGACACGCATAGCTTCATCAGGTTGGGGAACTGTGAAAGCTGGAACACCAAGCTGAAAGATGGGCAAGGAAGATGAGGAAACTATGGAGAGTGTTGTTATGTTACAAGAAGGAATTATCCACTTTTTAAAATTTAGATATACAAGAGTTATAGCCCACCTTGAAAATTCCAGCCTTCTCACCAGCAATTTTGCCAAGTGTATCACCNGTGATGCATCCCACAGNGAAGAAGAAATCATGATATAATATTAAACGAAAGAAATGTAACTCAAAACTAATGTTGCTCATTAACTCAAAACTAATGTTGCTCATAGCAGCATTGGTATGNCATGCATGAGAGTATTCCAGTTACAAACCTAGGATTTCCATGTGGTCATATCCAAGCGAAGAAACACCACATACCACAGGTTTCTGAACCTGTAACATGTCATTTTTGAATCCCCATGAGAACTAATTTAGTCACAAGAAAAGGCTATGAAAGTAATTTATGTTTTACATTAGAGGATATTATTTTAGAATTGAGTGTTTGATTTCAGTTCTGATCTTATCTAGTGTTTTTATATAACTGTTTCCCCTGAACAATAGAAGAAAGGGGGAGATGATCAGAAACTTAGTCAAATTTCAGGTTTCCTGTCTTAATGAACCGTAACCTTGGATGTTAGGTAAGAGGATACATCCTATTTGCAGAAATTAGCATATAAGGCGAGGAAAATTCAAACGTACCGCATTGGTGGCATCAAACTTCCCACCTAATCCTACCTCCAGTATAGCAGCATCCACCTGCATAAAGAAGCAAAGATTAGTATCAATAAAGAGAAAAAGATGTTTCCACTTCTATTATGTCACTGGGTAAGGGAAATGCTCAATAAAGGTCGATAATGAAATCAAACCTCTTCTGCAGCAAATATTTTAAAAGCTAGCAACGCAAGGAAGCGGAAATATGTAGGCATTGGTATCTCCTCGTTAGTTCTCTCCTGCAAATCAAATAGTCAGCAACCTTGTATTTTGAGTCAATACCAAAGTTAGTTCCATCTTCATTGCAACTATGCACACCATCATAAGTTCTCATCATAAAATTATCAGACCATAACACCACAAGTGATTCTAATAAGATATAGGGATGGACACTGTAGAGCAATTGGATTATTTATTTATGCATACCATCCATGGCTTTCATCACTGAGATTTCAAGCTTACAGAAAGTTACTGATAACTACTACTCAATCGAGAAACCCATGATAGAGCAAATGAGTTCAAATAACTGAATCTTCTTTTTGTTGCGTGCATACCTTAAGCCTGTTGTAGCACCACCAGAAATAACTCAAAAATTTCTCTTCACTTATGTCCACACTGCAGCAATAAAACATCAGCTAAAGCGAAAAAGAGCAATTTTTAGTAAAGAGCTAGATCTTAAATGCCTTGTTTGCTACTTTTGGATTTCTACTTGTTAAATCAAGAATAAAAAGGGAATTTGTAACACACGCCAAAACCAACATGGAGTCAACAAAAAGAGGCTCTGGAAAAATGGGAAAACATCAGTAAACAAAAGGATTATCTAACCAACTATTGTTTGCAATCAGGTTCCTGCTTCTATGACCGGAGATATATCTTTTCTAAATTATTTCAACAAACTTAGAAAAACTTACCCATCCAAGCGAAATCTTTCCCGGACATCAATGAGGTGAGGTGAAGTGAAGAGTCCAGTTCGGAAGCCATGGTTTCGCAAAATAGACTCTGTAAAGGCACATGTGGATCCCTTCAGTCCACATAAGAAAAAGAAAAAGAAAAAAAGAGAGAGTAATGTTAGCTGCTTGATCAGATAGTAATCAACCATGCAAACAATGAATCACTTTCATCAAACAAGTTCACTGAAGATTTAAATAAAACAGTAATCAACCACAAAAGAAAAATACTAGTTTCGTAACACTTTCCATTGTGCTATCACCATCAAGACGAAAGAAATAATAAGAGACATCATCCCACATTGATTATCTGATTACTGATACTACGAACCAATATTTTAAAAGTTAGAACTTTACAAAACTGACACTCCATCAATTGAAACCACATGTATCTCCTGGCAGGTAAGGATCAAACTAATGTCCTTCTCGCACCTGAAACCAAGCTCCATTCCTGGGTTCAGGGGTCTCACTCAAATCGGTAAAAATCTCAAGACGACACAGTCCAGTAACGTATCTCAATTCTCCACAGAGCAAAACTTTAAGCTTCTGGCCAATCAGTCATAAGGACATAACGGTCACAACTAACATCGAATTACCAAACTCAACTCCTAATGTATTCTAACTACCAAAATCAACTCCTAGTGTATATCTTGACCAAAAAAATATGACTTTAGTATCATTTTTACTCAGGAACCTCGAAAAATCAAACTTGGTGTATACCTTGCCTTTGGTTCCAGCTACATGGATAACTTTCATCTTCAACATGTCTTCTTCCAGGTCAAGCAGCTGCAAATTGGGTAACGAAAAGCGCGTAAAGGTGCAAAGAAAAATCAAATTTTTTACCAGAATCTAATCGAAAGAGAGAAGAAAAACCTTAAGATAATCAAAGACTAACTCAAACCGATCTCCTTTATTGCTTTTATCAGCACGACTTCGCTTCGTTATCAATGAAGACAAAGCAGCCAACGCTTCTTCATACGACGAATCACCTGAAAAAAAAAACAAGTATGAGAGCTCGATCCAATAACTGAAACATAAACATATCCGTTTACAGAAGTTAGAGAAGAAACACAAACCTCGAGCTGCCATGTCGATCTGATTTCTTAACGAACGAATCTGAAACTCGGAAAAAAAAGTGAAATATATCAAAAACGAAATATCTCCGAGATTCTCGGA